CATGCTGAGAGCTAACAACTAACCGCGAGCATCTCTATACGTTCAGCTACAGCCAGACATGCAAATGAGCTTTCAAATGCTCAACGTCTATCACATTTCGTTAAAATACGAGCAGTGATCGAGTAACAAACAATAAGATGGCGCAGAGACACGAGTTGGTCCGCTACAACATGATAGAGAAACACTTTTGTAAGTGTACATGGTCCAACTATTTTTGCAGGGTAATAACCTTTTTTTACTTTGAAAAGATTAGTTATAGAAAGATACGAGTACCGAGTACAGAATGTCGATACTTCTCATGAGTACTGAGTATATCGAGAACTCGATACTTTTTCACAAGTACTGGGTAAATATCGCGAAGGCCGAAAACTATCGACGAGTTAAAAACTTTTTAAGTAATTTTTTTTTTAATTACCCAATAAATGTTGTGGCGAACGTTCGAATATTAATTGCAATATCCAATATGAATGTTATGAAAATGAACACCATGATAAAAACATAGCAAGGTAGAACCGTTCTCTCAATTTGTCGGCAATGATTTTTTTTTTTGAAGTTTGCCAGCATTTTAAAATCTTATAAAATTTAAAATAAAAAATTGAAACTGTTCGAAATTGTTGTTGCTTGAGATTGAAAATGAAAATGTATGTGTGAGTTTGTGAGTAAATTTAAAAATTAAAATGTTTGGAAACGTCAAGAATTTTAAAAGTAACTCGACTCGTTAACCCATGTATTCTACCTTCGTTGTGAATTCGAAATCCAGCCCATTTTTGAAGAAAATTTTTTATGAAAGAGAGCTTATCTTTTTAATAGAGAATGGGGCTTCACCACATTTGCTTCTCGACTTCTAGATTTGCATTTCATTTTCAAAGTAAAGTTATTTATGAATAGTTACATATACGCGTCGAACAATTATAAAATATTTGCTTCTCGACTTCTAGATTTGCATTTCATTTTCAAAGTAAAGTTATTTATGAATAGTTACATATACGCGTCGAACAATTATAAAATATTTGCTAAACATTTAACGTACGCATGTAAAACTAATCTTATTGGAAGTTTATTCCAAAAACTTATTTAGATCAGATTAAAACTATTAAAGGCAGTGAGTATTCAATTATCAAATAGGAAGAGGTGAAAAAAGTGAACCAATCTGATTTTTGTTTACTTTTTGCGCTTGCTTTGAGAATACTTAGAAGTACGAGTATTATCGATACTTTTTTGCAAATATGAGAATTGGCATCGATTCTTTTTTAGAGTATTCTGTATGAATACTAGTATCGATACTTTTTTTGAATTTCTATCTCTAGAAAAGATGTAGCTATTCGCTAAGGCCCATGATGCAATAATACAAGGTGTTATCAGTTGGCAACTTCTCGCTCTAATTCTGCCATATTGACTGCCTTACGTGAAACAGTAGGAGTGTACTCGTACGCCCAACTATCTAAAGTTTTAGAAAAATTTTACTGGTTTTGCGTTCTCGTACCCAAAAACTTGCAAAGTAGGGGAAATTGAGAGAGCAAAATGTGAAAGAGAGCTGCAAATTTCTGCTGGAAAAAACTTGCAAGTAAAAAAATCAGCTGATCACAAACGCATGTTTGTAAATAAACAAAAGAAAATATGGCCTTTTTGAGTTATTTATTGCAAGTTTTATTATTAATGCTAGTATACAACGAAAAAGTGAGTAAATTTAATAAGCACAACGTTTGTTGAGTTTATTTTTCGTTCATTTGCTATTAATCTCCAGTTTAGCTCTGATCCAATACTTTTCGTGAAAAATCCTGTAAAACTGTCAAACAGCAAAATTACTCTCTGAAGTGAGAGTAAGGTCGGTGTTACGCAGACAAACTTTTGTTTGCCAAATTAAATGGCGGCTGCTTAGTTTGCTCGGAGGTGGTTATGTCGAGCTTGGCACAGGGTTGCATGTTCATTATGGTTTTCATGGCTATTGCCAACACGAAATGAGAATTTCAGATGTACATAACGCGCATACTTTAAAATTTGTGTATATGACAACACCGAATTTGCTGCAGTTTGACCAAACAAAATTAGTTTGCTGTGAGAGTCGCCAAACTCGCTCTCTCCGAGTTTGCTGCAACAACAATTGCACGCAGTTTGCCAAACAAAATTTCTGCATAACACCGACCTAAAAAGTGAGTAACAACAAAAATTACGGGGGGAAAATTTTAGTTTGGCATCCCCCGCGTACAAAAAAAGGTGTCTATGGGGGGGTAGGGGGAGTTCTCCTGATTGCAAATATATATACTTTTAATTTAAAAATTTTTATTTTTTATGGAAGTATTGATTTTTATGGAAAAAGCGCCGTAGGCGAAAATTTGTAATAAAAAATCGCGCGATTTTTTATTAAAAATTTTTATTATTTATCGAAGTATTGATTTTTATGGAAAAAGCGCTGCAGGCGAAAATTTTTAATAAAAAATCGCGCGGTTTTTTATTAAAAATTTTCATTATTTATCGAAGTACTGATTTTTATGGAAAAAGCGCCGCAGACGAAAATTTTTAATAAAAAATCGCGCGATTTTTTATTAATAATTTTCATTATTTATCAAATTAACGATGTACGTTTTCTACATTTGTGTTATTTGAACTACAATAACACCAGTAAATATTATTTCCACCCGAAAAAAATAATACCGTTATGATCAGGAGTAAGACCCCTATCGATCCTAATATTATTATTTTTAATAAGAGCAATATATGTACGAACTGCACACTTATACTTCCTAATTATACGCACTTATTTGTGTATTTTTTTAACGTATGGTAGCATACATTTTGTGTTACTGTCAGCCATAGTTATTTCTGCTTGTTTGTGAAATGTGCAAACGTTTGTGAAGACATTTATAAACGGGTTTTACTTAATTAATTAATTAAATCTCGGGCCGCGTTTTAATGCAACTATTTTGCCGAAGTGTGCACATAAATAAAGTGTTTATTGTGTGAAATAGCGCCGAGAGGTTAGTTCAATTTACAAACTTTAACAACAAATAACTTAAAAACTAGAAGCCCGCTGCGGCTAAAAGTATATATATTTGCAATCAGGAGAACTCCCTCTATCGTTCCATAGCTACCTTAATGCGGAACTCCGGGGATGCCAAACTAAATTGCAGCCCTGTTTCGAAGGTTGCAAGTTTTTGCAAATTTTGCGTTCTCGTACTTCTGTTGATATTTCGTCTCTTTGAGAACGAATGCTGCTAAATTCTCAGAACTTTTGCTGCTGGAGAATTTTGTTCTCTCAATACGAGTACACACCTAATGTTACTTCTTTAACTATTCTTTGCCCGTTAATATAGTTGAATGTTTTTAATTTTTTCTCAGTATACACACTTTGTTTTCTTAAAAATGTATTTTACCTTATTTGATTTCATTTCATAACGAATATACTATAAAAAAGCAAATCTTGTTTAGGAGAAAATGTAAAATTTTATATTTTTCCCCCATATGGGGCTCATTTCTTCCCCTTTTTCTTCTTATTCTACTGAGCTAAGGCAGTGTCAAATCGAGCTGTCACAACTGATACCACCTTGTATTATTGCATCATGGCTAAGGCCCTGTCTCCACAGGAAAACACTTATTACGTTTATACGCACGTCTTATATGCAAATAACAATTTCCAAAATGGTAAAATTTGCCGCATAAACGCTGAGTTAATTTTTTATTTGCAAATAACTAAATCACGCAAATAAGTATTGATTAGTGGTACTATTTGCAAATAAGCGCAAGACGCCGCCATTCTTAGTTTTATTTTATTATTCGATGGCCATCTTATTGCCTTTTTATAATCAAGACGGTACCATTTTAAAACTTTATTTTCTTTTTCGATGGTCATATTATTACCTTTTTATAATCAGGCAATAGTTGTGTTTTCGTATTATCCAGCAAAAAAATATCCAGTAACTTGCCAGTAACCAAATTTCGGAGAGTAAGCCAATATTTACTCCCAATGAGTGAAATATGCAAGAAAGTACGAAAATGCAAAACCAGCAATAAGTTGCTAGTTTTATGAACAGCTGCTATTTTCCAATGTAATTTTCTTAGAAAACTAGTATTTCCCATCTTGTTATATATTTAAATAGGTTTATTTTGTCAATTGCAACTCTAAAATCACTACAAACAATTATTTTGTTAATGTGAATTACACTAAGCATCATGCCATCAGCAAATAGTTGCTGGTAAAAATTTATCCAGTAAAAATCCAGTAAAACTTGCACGTTCAGCTGTCATTTTTGCTCTCTCAATTATCTCTCCAGTAAAAACCAGTAAAATTAGTACTGGATTTACTGGATGGTGCGTACGCGAACACGGCTAATATGAAAAAAGAATCAATTAACAGCTCCGCGAACGCAACTAATATTGTCCGGTGTAAACCAAGGCGTATTTAATTTTATCCACCCATTCATTTCTGTGCGTTTTACAACTTAATATGTGAGAATGACTTTTGACTTTTTCCAACTTACCGATGCCAGATCGAAGATTTATGAGGCTCCTTGGGAGTAGCATTTTACGAAAAGTTGCTTTGCATGTGAAAGCAACAACAAAAGCCGTCATCGATTAGCCACTTCTCGCTCACTATGTTTGTGTTCCGGTCGCTTAAAGAATAATTTTGCATGTGAAAGCAACAACAAAGTTAGCTAGCACGGATAGACGATAGCGAGTTTGGTTATACCTCATTGAGTTCGTTCGTTTCGCTAACTGTTGGCGAATCGATGACGGCTATTGTGTTCGGGCTGTGAGTTTGACATAAAAGAGGAAGAGCCGAATCTTTCGCGGAAGATAGAAATAGATCTAATCTGGCTACAACCAACTTTAGCCGTCATCGATTCGCCATCAGTTAGCGAGTGACGAAACGAACGAACTTTGTTGTTGCTTTCACATGCAAAATGTTTCGTTAAGCGACCGGAACTCAAACATAGCAAGCAGCGAAGTGGCGAATCGATGACGGCTTTTGTTGTTGCTTCTTTTTAGCGACCGGAACTCAAAGATAGCGAGCAGAGAAGTGGCGAATCGATGTCGGCTATAGGTGCAATGATTTGTAGCGGACATCACCTACCGGAAGAGGATGTCCTTGGAAATTTCCGTGCACTAGTCTTCAGTATAAAGCCAATAAAAACTGAAATCTGATGTGGGACATGCATTTGTTTGTCGGTATGTAAATATGTATACACGATTATGATTGACGAAACCATGTACATATCATGCGCCAAACTTCTTACTTCACCTCCAGCAGATAATAAATTACATAGTTCCGTTTATACAACAAACATTTCAATTAAGTACTGTTGCCATGCCACATAGCACAAAAAATAGTACAGTATAGGTATTCAACAGTCCAACGCCTCGTGACCTACATTGGTTTTACAAATTGTTTTACTATACTCCGGAAACACCTAGGATACCAAGCCATATTTAATAGAATCACAAAGCACACAAGTCATTTCACATTTCAATTTATTTCAATATTTTTAAAAATAATAAACTGCGCAGTTAATTCGTTTTAAGGATGCAAACAACTCAGCAGCAGGTGCATATGTACATTTTAATAGCATGCGTTTAATTTAATTTCTCTTCCTTATTCAGGTTAAACGCACACGCTCCTATGTAGAAGAAGTTTATCGCCAGATAGAAGAAAAGCCGGATATACTTGATATTATAATATTGAACAAAAATGGGAATCCTGTTAAGACGACGATGGAGCCGCAATCAGCTATTGAGTTTTCCGGCCTGTACGAGGTATTGAAGGAAAAAGTTCAATCAGGCTTGCAGAAGATCGATCCTGACGATAAGCTATTGATGCTACGTGTACGTACAAAAGCAAACGAAGTGCTTATTACGCCAGATGAAAAAATTACTGTGGTGGTAGTGCAAAATGCTCAAGATAGAATACAATTATGAATTGTAATTTTGAATTTTAAAATAAATTGCTATATTAGAACATTAGAACCATTCAAAAATATAATCATATTAAAATACTATTGCATTACAACAATCGTGAATTCTTTTTCTGGAGCGACTAAATATTCAAACTTTCTAGTGACAATACGAAGAAACGTCAGATCATTAGTGGTATCCAAGTCACGCACGGCGCTGCGTGCAGTTGGTACTAGCACACCACTAATTAATTTGGTTATGCCAGCAGAAGTGCTATTGTCGAAAGTGGATTGTACTACAGTTCCCAGAGCATTATTCGACACCACATAGCCAATGGCATTTTTCATGATACGTTCTGTGTTCTCAGCATTTCTGCGTACAATGTTTTCCAGTGCAAGCGCCTGTTGTAAATAACGATCAATAAATAATAAAAGCACAAATGTGTAAAATACCAGTTTGAAAATGTTTAAAATCACACAAAAAGACTAGAAAATGTTATAAGCAATCTGCTTAAAAGGAAATAATTAAAAAATATATGGATATATGACGTGCTTTGCCAGCTATGATAGCCACTGCTTAGTTTCAAATTTACATTTTTTCACAATTATTATGTCACAGTGTCAATTTAATAAAGTTTCTGTTTATGACGGTACTATTAACCATGATAAAAACATAGCAAGGTATAACCGTTCTCTCAATTTGTCGGTCATGATTTTTTTTTGAAGTTTGCCAACATTTTAAAATCATATAAAAGTGAAAATAAAAAATTGAAATTGTACGAAATTGTTGTTGCTTGAGTTTGAAAATGAAAATGTGTGTGTGAGTTTGTGAGTAAATTTAAAAATTAAATTGTTTGGAAACGTCAAGAATTTTAAAAGTGACTCTCAGCGGTTCTACCTTACTATATTTTTATCATGCTATTAACTGATCCTAATAACAAAATTATTCAGTACAGTTAAAATTATTTTCTGTAGGCGGCAGTATCCGGTAAATATCTTTAAATTGAATCTGTAGTACCAGAATAATAACTAAAATTTTTATACAATGACAATATCGTCGGTGATACTGCAAAACGGTGTATGTCTTTTAGTACCCTTGACAATTAGATGGTATCTTACTTGCACCGGAATGCATCTGCAAATCGGTACACCCTAATAAACGAATGACAAAACTGTCTACATTTGGCTGGTGAAGATGAAGAATGGCCAGAAGCGATTAGATATCACCGAAGATATATCTGTGGTCATAAGCAATAGCTGCCTAAGTCGGCTTAAGAAATAATTGCGTTATATATGCTATCGTGTTCTGCAACTAATATTCCATGCGCATATGAAATCTCCATCTCGCCAGTTAGGCTGTTTAAAAAGTTATGGACGAACATATTTTGGTTTCCTCATAAGGTTAACATTACAATCCAATGACTTTATTCATAAAAAATAAAGTAGGTTTAAAGAGCTTTACAAAGTGACGTTATCATACATTTTGCAGTTTATAAATCTTTTTTTTAAGCTACTTTATTTTTTATGAATAAGGCCTCAAATATTTAAAACGTTTTTCCTCGAATTCAGGTTTTTCGACTTAGGCAGTTGTTGCTTTTGACCACAGATATATGTACCTACTGGTACCTACATTTAATTGTTCGAAAACCGTTGTTGTTAAAATGTGTATATACAAAAATTAGAAGCCCTCAATTTAAATCATATCCACTAAAATGTGACAAAATATTACCCTAATTTAAATCAAAGTAAAATATACAATTAATTTTTTGTGTAATAGAAAAAAAATTTACAAATATAACTTATTTTTTTCGGACAAGCACGCCACACTTTTTTAACCCTATACGAAACGTAGTATTATTTATCATCCCAGGGCAACCCTGATTGTGTTTTCTGCTAGGTCGATGACAACATTGATTTTCAGTCTGGTCGCGGTCCATTGTCTAAATAGAAAATTTTGCAAATCTATTAAGCTTGAGCAATAAATTTGAGGAATTATGGTAAATATATATAGTAAATCATAATACATAAATATTACATTGTTGATTCATGATCATTTTAAATGTGTTTTTAAGTCGCAAGAAGTTGAGGAAACACTGAAACGCATCCAGTCACATAAGGGTGTAGTCGGCACCATTGTTGTCAACAATGAAGGTAACTTTTAAACATACATATATAATCCAGACTCACCGCATCTCTTTGCTTACGTTACTGCCTCTTTACCTTAGGTATTCCAGTCAAGTCGACACTGGACAACACGACAACAGTGCAGTATGCTGGTCTTATGAGTCAACTATCTGACAAAGCACGCAGTGTTGTGCGTGATTTAGACCCTTCCAATGACCTTACTTTCCTGCGTGTACGTTCCAAAAAGCATGAGATTATGGTTGCACCCGATAAAGATTTTATTCTGATAGTTATTCAAAATCCAACTGACTAAACGGTGCAATTGAAATACTTATATTCTTAGCTACTCGTGTATTTATTGTATTACCTTGCGTGAAAGCGATAGAGCTTTGATTTTGAATTTGCATCAATCGGAAATGGAAACAAAATTACATACATCTTTTAAGATCTGCTTACATTTTATGTGATTTAATGTTAGTATTAATTTTTATACAAACTTAATACAGCACAATGCAAAATGCTTTTGAAATTTAATGTTTTTGAGGGAAAATTAATAGTGTTACGGGGTACTGTTTATGAATTAGTACAACGATTTTGGGTTCCTGTGCCCAAACGCGTGAATCGAATCAAAAACTTTTAACACACTTGTAGACAACAGTTCACGCTTTATTACAAAAATAAAATTTACTATATCTGTGCACTAATTTATTAATAAAGTCGGTTAGAAATATGGTATTTATTGCAAGTTTCCGAGCTGATCTGTCAAAAAAAAACATCCACGAAATATCTGCAAAAGGTGTTCAGCCCCTCTTCTTTAGCAAAACAGAAAGGAGAATTCTACTTAGTGAGGGTTATATTCCCTAAGCGCGGCCGAAGGGCTCCTACGCAGAAAGTTGTTTTCTGCAAAGTTGTTCAGCCCCTTTTCTTCGGTAACACAGAAAGGAGAATTCTACTTAGTGAGGGTTATAATCACTAAGTGCGGCCAAAGGCCGCCTACGCAGAAAGGTGCTCTCTGCAAAAGGTGTTCAGCCCCTCTTCTTGGGTAAAAGAGAAAGGAGTAGTGAGGGTTATAACCGTTTTAGAAAAAATCCAAATTTCCGCTGTTTTCAAACAGCTCCCATGGGACTTTGGGGGGAAGGGGTGAGGGGTGACTTTTCATAAAGCGGCTTTCATCATCCTTCGTTTAGGGGGGGGGGGGGGACTTTGGGGAGCAACGCCCCTCCCCCTACGCCCCCATCCCAGAATCGTTGAACAAATAGCTAAACATTTCTCGTGTTACGATTATCCTTGACTACTTGACGGGTTTCCCAAAATCTTTCGGTTCGTATCGCTGGATTGTTAAATAAACACTATGACCAAATTACAGTACAATTAACTTTATTGTACAAAAAACACTTTACAATACATGTTTATGCAATAACAACAATTAACAATCTTGTTAAGGCAATTAAAACCATATATGTAATACTCCTATATTGGCAGTAAGAGCTAGTACCGTCCGAAAACACTACAGTACAGATATATCAATAAACACGTACGAAAGAAAAGGAACACATACGTTTATTAATAGACATGTACACAACACATATACAAAAACGGCACTCAAGTACACAATCCATTGACAAAAACGGTACTAGACTGTCTCGCTTTGATTTCGGAATGATTACA